AAAAAACCAAATAGCTAGAGTTTAGATATTAAGCATGAAACATGTTCTAGTAAGTGTCTACAAAGTTTGTTCAAATAAAAGCCCTGGGGTCAAAACTGGCCCGGCCCCAGGGTGTCATTGTTTTTAACTATTTGTGTATAGTAAAAACTTTAAAAAAATCTTCTTTTAAAAAGCCCAATGAGCTAGAGCTTAGATGTTTAGCATGAAACATCTTCTTATGGGTGTCTACCAAGTTTTATGCAAATAAAAGCCCTTGGGTTAAATTGGCCCTGCAACGTTGGGGGGGGGGGGTTGGGGGGGGCCTATATACAGGTGAGCGACCTCAGGGCCATCATGGCCCTCTTGTTTGTAAACCTATTTCAGTAAAAATGACTTCTTTTAGTCGTTACCACAATTTTGTTTTGATAAATGTCCGTAAACAGTTTGGGTTGATTGTGTCTACCAATGCCGTTTGTGAACATTCTTTCTAAACAGACGGTGCGATGATGTTGTTTGGTTCATTTTATCTCATTTACAAAATCAAACCTTCCAATGATTTTGTTTTCGTTGCTGTCAAAGAGTCTTCCTTTACCCCATAATTTTCTTTTCAGTTGTCAATACTTTGTGACAATTTTCATTGCAACGGGTTCCCTCCTTGTTTTAATAGTGTTTCTTTTTCTCTTCCTTTAACTCCTAGACATGGCAAGCCGGCAGCTGTTTTCGAAAATAGAAATTTAATTACAAAGACAACTCTATTACAGAAAATGTGTTTTTACGGACGCAACTCCTTCACATGATTTATGTCTCAGCGGTTTGTTTATAGAGTGTAGGAAACTTCAAGGTGTTTTTGTTTTGACATTCATCAATTGCATTTAGGTTTTCCATCCATAAGCATCAAGAAGATAAAATTCTGTAATTTTGAAATAGCTTTTAAGCTGATGAGGAATATATATCAGTTAATACCTATCTTAAAATTTCAGTTTTATAAAACTGCTATTTTTTTATTTCTTATTTCTCTCAATGCATCATACATGATACAAACATGAGGTATATAAACAGTAAAAATTTGTAAAAAAACAACAACAGTACGTACATGGCAAGTCATTTACAGAGAATAATCACAATACATAAATATATATAAACAGTCGTTTTTCTTTGTTCGACCAGTATAAAAGGGAATTTATTGAATAGTGATTCTGCAACATAATAAATATATTTATATTACGGTTTTTTTATATACAACATGACCTCATGTTATTTATAGGTCTGAAAATAACATCAAATGATGTCTATTTCATGTAGTCAGCTTTTGACACCTGTCATATATGTATATCGGGCAAACGACAGTCTTTGTTTTTGTACGAAATGATTTGAAATTAAGTTTATAAGTATTTACAGACTTAGAATGACTGGAATTCAATTTATTAAGAGTGATAAGTAGTGATAGATAAAATTTTGAACAAAAGTTTAAGATCTTCTGTCCGGTTTAAATAGAGCGATACATGTACAATGAAATATAAATGTGACATTTTTCGTTGTTTTAGACAGTTTTTTTTTAATTTATTGAACAACCCTAGATTATATCTTGTCATGTTTATAGAATATATATTTCTTATCGCATGACCGCCACAACTTTCCTTTGAAGATCGGCGTTCTCTAAATTTCAGTATTGGAAAACTTTGGGGTGCTCTAAATGAGGTATCAGTACGCTTTGGGGTGCTCTAAATGAGGTATCAGTACACTTTCTCGCGCATGCCCAGTTTATTATTTTATTTCAAATAATAAAGTGAGCATACCTGAAAAAGAGCAAAACAAAACATTACACAGTTTACAGACTTTTTTTAAAATATTTACTGCATATACATCATTTCGATCTTTTTTTTTTCTTTTTTTTTTCAAAATCTGAAAATGCAGTTATTATAAAGATGTTGACTGCAGTGGAAAGTAATCGCCATTTTCTGCATACAAACCTGAAACAATGATCAAATTATTCTCTTTTTTTTTACTTTAAACAATGCCTTCGTTTTACAGGAGATTCTGACCAGTAAGCCATTCACTACACGTATATGAACATAATATTCTAGCGCAAAAAAATCACTACATTGTCGTTAGTTTTAAAAAATACGCGTACAAGATATACCTCTGAAATATACACCGGGATACTTATCGACAATATTTCCAAGATTATATTTTGAAAATGAGCTGGAAAGATGACTATTATTTCGCATTTAGAAAAAATGCATCAACTTACCTCGTGAAATGGTTATTTATGTCCAGTTCCTTCAACGGCATCTAATGGGTGTATTTCTGTGGGTATTTCTTAACTTTTTTATATGTTTAAATAAAGCAAATATTACGAGAGAAGAAAAAAGTCGTGATGGTCATGCGATAAAACAGTTACAGAATAAATACTCGGACTTCACCGGCTGGTATCAGCGCATGGGGCGACAAAAGGGTCAATCATGGAAATTAATCTCGACGTTCCGTCTCGATTAATTTCCTATGATTGACCCTTGTTGTCGCCCCATGCGCTGATACCAGCCGGTAAAGTCCTCGTATATATTCTATAACTATTACATATCGAATGAATCTCCTTTGAAATGTTTCTCATAACAATTGCAAATATTGCTTAAGGACATTTTAAGTGTGTAAAAAATGCAGCGGAATAGAAAATAATGGGTAAAACTTATGGAAATGCCAGTCTGATATGCAAGAAAAGGTGTGACACACACACACACAAAAATAACTACTACTATAAGTAAGGGCCCGTATTTATTACAAAAAAGAAAGAGAATAAAATGAAACATAACATTTTTGTTTTGAAAACTTTTATATGAAGTTTGTTTGACAGAAAATTATTTGAGAATAAAGTTCGATCGACGGATAACTTCTTTGCAGTCCAAAACTAGCATCATTAATTTGATTATTATTTTGATTAATTAATGTATTTCTTATTGTTTGTTGTCATCGTACCCGTTTCATCATTCCAAACAATATTCTTGTTGTCTCTAGGTTTCCATTTATTGTGTTACATTCTAAATCTTCAAAATCAAATCACAAAAATGATTGCAAAGTTCAATAAACCCTAAACAACAAAATCACAAAATCAAAGCATTTTAAATTAAAACTCGTAGAAATTTGGACCGCAGTTCGGAGACAAAATTAAATAATCTTGAAGACAAGATCGTCTCTAAAATGATATTGTCTCATACACTCAACGTTGAACAAATTGATTTCTATGAGCAGGTTTTATTTGCAAACGTTGTTTAATGATACTGTTCAAGCTAAGATTAGAAAATCTTCGTGTAACCATGGTGTCGCGAGCATGTTGTAATCATGACGAGACGCTGTCTTATCTAGATGATGAACGCTATGATTTTTTACTGTTTGAAGAATAATACAGAATTATAAAACCTAACAAAATGTGTACATGCTGTTTGAACATGCATATAACTTTGTCAAAGGTCTCTATAACAATATTGTTTTCTTTAATTAATTAGAAATATATAAATTTCAATCAGCGTATATAACAATAATATAAAAACATAATAATTATCCAATGAATATTGATGTTACAAACGTGTGAAACATTTTAAGTAGAAATAATCATTTCATTGGAGCAGCGTAAATAATCATTACTAAAACTGAATTAATTCAATTTACGAAAACACCACGTGACATGTTTTTGATTATTTTTATTTGTTTTTGCTTATGGTCCATAACCCATATTCTTTATACAAAAGCTTGTTATCGTAATGTCATCTGAATCAAACATTGGTCTGATGATAAATTGACTGTTTCAATAGAGCTAATTAATTATACTATTATAGTTAATTAAGCGTCTTTGTCGTAAATGTTATCTATGAACGGATGGTTGTTTTGTAATTGATCTCAAAAACATTTGTAATATTTGTTCGTACGGACATGTAAGAAAAGAAACGATAGTACACAATGAAATATTAGCTTTGCAATCACGTTTTACCCTTTAAGCTGCATGCCTCCAGATGAGCCAAAATAACGCTGTAATGGGCTATGTATGCATAGTTTGGCATTTTATGTGGGTTGTAAGTGTCGTTTGCAATGTGTAAATTACTTTCTTTATTCATTTTACAATACTCTAAAATGTATTTATATATACAATGGTAATATTGAAGGTAAAATACAATCTGTTCAATAACATTATAATAAATACGTTTATGATTTAAGATAACAAAACAACAACAGTGTAGAACTGGTTTTTACCTATTTTTGACAACCTATCTTTAGAACAAATACGTGTGATCGTGTATTTTTAATGATTTGGTGGTTTGGCGATGGCATTTATAAAACTTTATCTTCTATTTGAAAAAATTAATCGCTTTGAATAATTTATATTTCAATTCTCTGAAATTTAAATCATGAACCAAATAACGGTCATTATCCAGTTTGTAATACTTTGCGTACATTTATATTTTTAAAAGAAATGTTTCTACACTAAAATTGTCATTCAGGCAAGTTGTGCAGTTTATTGGAACTCGAATAATTTAAACATTTCTTCTTTTTTATCTAGAAAAAAATGTATAAAAAAAACTTGAAAAAAAAGAAAAATATCGTCGCCAATATCTTTTGTTTCATTTACCTATTGACGCTTGACTTTTTATTCCCTTTGACAATAACGATAACGATTCTTTGAGATGGTAGTATTGACAATTTTGGACACACGTCGTATCTAAGTATATCCGAATTCTGGTAATGTATGGTAATTCGGCCAAGTTCTGGACATAACTGTATCTAATATGCACTGGTAGCTGTATATCGATCATCAGATATTACAGCATAAGATCTACCTTTTACAGTTTTCACTCGTAGTTACATAGAAAGAAAGTATTTACATATATGCAGCTTTTCTAAATGGAAATTTAAAACTTTGTGTGCTTTGTATTAATTTTTCATTATTCGTGTGATTATTTGCAAGTGCGTGTGCTTTATTAAGGATTATTCTATTTGATTTTTATTATATTACGTATTAATATCTATTGCAGTGATCCGACCGCCGCCACCGAGGTACTGCGAAGCCTACAAGTATCCTGTCGACTTCAACACTCCTTCCGATTTTAAAAACAATGAAATTAATCTGGAATATAACTGTCAAAGTGAAAATTTATATGAATCTCTACCGGATTTAAATAGTAAGAATGCAGTTACTTGTGATACCTACAAAGCACTTCCAGGTGAAGTTGTGTATTTTTATCAACCGGCCCATTTCTACAGCAACGTAAGTGCTGACTCATACCGGAAGTTGAAATATATTTATAGATTTAAAAAAGGTGCACTAGGTCAGTCTAAATTAGTGCTTGAGGCAATACCAGAAACCGTGGCGTCGTCCGATCAGTCTATGGGAGTTAAAACATACGCGCAGTTAGAGGTGGTCGAGTCTGGTAGTGAACAAGGTCCTGGTATGTGCGGAGTTAGTGGAATCAATGGATGTGAGGGGGTTGGGGGATTAAATAGGTGTAGTGAGATTCAAACCAATGGTAAAGCAGTTCTTGTGCCGATAAACGGTGTTATTCCTACGGATAGAATGATTGTGGATTCATTATTAAATGATTCAAATTGTGAAAGTTGGAATCACGAGGTAAGACACTCACCAGACGACACACCGGCGCACACACCGGAACATGGTTCTCGCGTGCATTCGCCTGAATTTAATCAAGTTGACCGAGACTTAGAACAATTAACCCAAGCATTAGAAAGTGAAGAAAAATGTGTTCAGTCCGGAGAACAAACACCCTTGTTGCAAGAACCAAGTGCTCAATGTACTCACAATGAAACCAAAAAGGGTTCCACGGAGCCGAAAACCCCCAAATCCCAAAGAAAATGTGAAAATGATCACGATTACGCAGATAGCGGATATTCAGACTCTAATCGAGCGGATTTTAAAGAACACGTGACCGATCACTCGGTTGATCACGTGTTAGATACTGTGATCTATTCTGAACCTGAGTATTCTTCCTCGGATATGTCTATTAAGTGTACTGGTGACACGTTAAACAATGCATTAGACAAATATCAAAGAACCCTCAAACGGACAACAAATGGTACCGACCATACTGTCTATGAATTAAGTCCTTCGGACTCATTTTATAATTCCGCCGACAATATGCATACCGTCGGCAAAAGACATTCATTAGCAAGTGGCGATGGTATTTGCAAAATTGGCCAAAGTTCCTCAAGCCTAACAGACGTACAGCGATCTCGACAACCTCTGTCAAGAGACACAAGTGTGTCATTTAAAAAGCCATTGGTCAGTGGCGCCAAGGACGAAAGTGCGAGCACCAGAGTAGATTTGCACCCGGCAGAGCCACAACCCGAACTGACCGATGCCGAACCGTTAGTAACGCCAAATGCAAAACAAACGGCAAGCTCTGAAACTATACCTTCCCAACTGGTAAATATATTATATTATTTATTTCAAAGTTCATTGATGAAATATAGAATTTGACCAGTAAGATATAACTGATATCACTCATTGCAGATAAAGTATAAAATATATAAAAATCTCACCATCTCTAATAATTAGCAAAAACTTAAAAGAAATGTAGAAGCTTGTCATGGATGAAATATATTTCGGATTGATGTGATATTTTTGAAATTCTAATGGCTTGTCGGGCGTTTTATAAATTGATAATAATGATATTTGTAAAAATGATAATAACTCAATAAATCATAAGGCTACAATATTAAGAGACGTAATTATATACAAAATATTAAGAGCTTTTTGTAAGTTGCCTTCAGAACAGTAAAAAATAGACAAATTTATACAAAGGAGTGAAGAATAAAATATTAATTAAATTGTAAATGAAATGGATAATAAACATCTTCATAAAACATAAAATTTGATAAAATATCAGAAAAAATCATTTGAATTTATGTTTTAAACGAATGATATAAACATTTCAAAGATATACTATGCTCAAATTTGATAGTTGAAATATTGTTTATTGCTACACAGTCTCTTTGTAAAAATAAAATAAACATGTTTTGGATTCACTTAAAGGAGATATGTTATGTTTTAAACTCTACACATTATATGAAGTCAAAATATCAACATTAGTGTCATTAAAATGACTGCCTGCCAATGTTTATTCTTAAGAAAGGACCAACTTTACTTGACTCGTAATGGGAAATGCAGCTTCCAATATATAGTTTGTGCATTCCTTTATTCAAATAAGAAATATTCAATAAGAATTTCACAGATTTCAATAACTGTCTGCGACAAAAATATTAAACACAAAGATGAGTTTATTATGTCTTTAAATATAAACGACTTGAAGAAATATTCAACAATCTATATCCTTTTTCATTCATAAAAAACATAACAACAGGTTTGTATAGTTTATTTTTAGCAAAATTATAGGTTTCAAAAAATAAAACACAGATTCCGATGACGTCGCAGACTGATTTACAATTTCCCAGAAGCTACGCTTGCAATTCTGCTATTATTTCATTTGATAAAGAGAACCAATCCATTTCTGTTGAAGCTTAATTAATTTTGATGTGCGTCAGTCTAGACAAAAACGTTTGATCACGTTTATACCAATGAACTTTTATCTTTGCATGAATAAATAGACTTTACTTAGACTTATTAATAGATATACATACAAAATACACGTCCGTCTGTGTGACGATCAATAATAGAAGAATAGGAAGCGTAATGTAACCTAATACTAAAAGTAAGTATTAAAATCTAGTTACGGAAGAGAGAAAAAATCTATTTGCTATTGTTTGATTTTATATGATAGATTTTGTATTGAAAAGAAACGTGTGTATGTTTTAATAGAATATGTAAGAGCGCCAGGAAAGAAGTGTTTAATTTTGTCAGCATTCGAGAGACTCGATTGTCTATATTTTATTCAATAGCAACTTGTTGTTTAAACTATGAATACAATGTATCTGTACTGTATCAGATAATAAGATAAGATAATAAGATTATGATATAATATCGGTAAAGAAGTTAAAGCAAATATGATTAAAGTGATTTTGAAAATAAAGATGTTTTGTTCACATGTAGTTATAACAAAAAAGAAAGAGATTCACGAGTTTTCTATACTCAATAAACATGATAATTTTATATTAAAGAACATTAGAATGGTAATAAACATGATAATTTCATGTTAAAGAACATAAAAATGATAATTAACATGATAAATTTCGTATTAAAAAACATAAAAATGATAATAAACATGATAATGTTCATATTAAAGAACATTAGAATGGTAATAAACATGATAATTTCATGTTAAAGAACATAAAAATGATAATTAACATGATAAATTTCGTATTAAAAAACATAAAAATGATAATAAACATGATAATGTTCATATAAAAGAACATTAGAATTGTAATAAACATGATAATTTCATGTTAAAGAACATAAAAATGATAATTAACATGATAAATTTCGTATTAAAGAACATAAAATGATAATTAACATTATAATTTTCATATAAAAGAACACAAGAATGATGATAAACATGACAATTTTATATTAAAGAACATAATAATGAAAATAAATATGATTATTTTTATATTTAAGGACATAAGAATGATAACAAACATGATAATTATATATTAAAGAACATGAGAATGTTAATTACAATGATAATTTTCATATTTAATGACACAAGAATGGACTGGTAAAGGTCACAAACTTCAGATCACTTGCCCCACAACTCTGTGCGTTCGAATCTCGTCAAGAACTTTGAATTCTTTTATGTGATGAAGCTATCCAGCAAGCTTACGGAAGAATGTTGGTTGTACTCGGGTGTCAGTTTGGGTGCCGTCAGTTTGTGCCTGAAATAATGCAGAAAGGGGCACCTGTCTTCCTCCATCAACAAAGTTGGAAAGTCGCCATATGATCTTGAACGTGTCGGTGTGACTTAAAGTGCAAGAAAACAATTATGATTATGTTTGTTTTCCTACATGAAAAAAACATAAAATACATAAATACTTCATTGTCATACAAAAATCAAAAAAGGAAAATAATTATGGGTTTTAAATGGACGCTACACTACGTATCATCGTCAGTAATTTACATATTGCATTTATTCCTTTTGAAATCACTATGAAATGATATTTGTAATTGCATCACCTGCATTCTGCTCCTGTTCAGTTCCTTTGTCTCATAATTATAAATTATAAATTAACTAATATCAGAAATAACTGCTTTTTAATTGTGCAACGTCACCGTCCAATATTTCTGCATTGGATGCTCCAGAGTCCAATATATAACATATCTTTTGGTTTGTGTCACGTCACCGTCCAATATTAATTGGGTGCTTCAGAATCCAATATATACCATATCCTTTGATTTGTGTCACGTCACTGTCAAATATTTTCGTATTGGACGGTCAGAACCCAGTATATACTGTATCCTTTGATTTGTGTCACGACACCGTCCAATATTTCTAAAACCTATATATAACATAACAGAAATAACTGCCTTTGGTTTGTGCTACGTTACCGTCCAATGTTTCTGTATTTGGACGCTTTAGAATCCAATATAAACCGCATTGGAAATAACTGCATCACTATACTTTTGCACTTTCGTAAATATATTCTATATTTAGATCAACTAACTCCTACATGTCGGGATTGGCTTTGATAGATGGTTCGTTATCTTGCAAGGAAAATTTATGAAGAACGTTAGGCCATAAGTTTTCACCCTCAAACAAAGAAGATTTATAAAGAGTTATAATTAAGCTCCGTTTCACAATCAGTCACGTGACTAAGATAATTCCCCATAATGCATTGGTAAAACACCGCTAACACGCGACGTTCAGCAGCGTTAAAGTACATTTGTACAATTTATATGTTTTAAAATCTCATAAAGTATTTTGTTGAAACAAGATGATAATTTGAAAAATCATTCTCTTGAAAAAATGACTTTAAGAAAATTGTTTTTCATCTATAAAAGGTCTTTGTAAATAGTGTTACACCAGCGTAATTTATAACCATAAGATCGCTATAAATAAACGAAACTTGAAGCGTTATTATAACTCTTTGGAAAATTCTGTTAAAGTTATTTATTAAATTCCAGCTATCAAATAATATATTAACAAAAAAAAAAGAAAACACAACATATTTATGTGTTTTCTCTAAAAGGGTATTTCAATTTAAGGATATCCATCGCGCTTTAATAAGTACTTTTATAATTCGTTTTTTTTTTCTAACTTTAATTATCACGAACATGTATTGGACGGTACTCGTGCAAAATCGAAGTTTGTTGTTGTTGGTGGTGGTTTTTTATGTGTATTTGTGTTTTTCAATTAGCTACATAATCCAATATCAGATTGTTGAGTAGTCGGGTGGTTAAGGTCGTTGACTTCAAACCACTTTCCAGTCACCGCTGTGGGTTCGAATCCCGATAGGGACTTTAGATTCTTTCATATGATAACGCTATCCAGATAGGTAACGGAACGTTGGTGGTTCTATTATCAGGTACCTGAAATAATGCACGAAAGGGCACCTGAAGTCTTTCTCTCCCAGCAAAGCCGGAAAGTCGCCATTCTGTGTTGGAGTGACGTAAAAACAACCCCAAAAACAATGCAACTCGTGCAAAATGTTTTTCGCCAGCTGTTGTTCTCGTCCTATACAATATTATCAAATAGAATACTTATTTGACTGCTTATACCAGATATCGTAACGTGGAAAACGGCAATATTCAAATTGGCGCTGTTTGTAAAGATTTAATTATTATTCAAATATTCTGATTGATGTTGGATAAACACTGACGTAGGCAATCTTTAACTCTAATATTTCTGGCATTTTCTTATAAACAGTTTACTAAATGCCCCCAGGAGAGATTGCCATATAATGAGTTGACCAGAGCAGTTTAGGTCGTTAAGTTGCGGAACTTTGACATATGGATAAATTATTCATTAGTCCATAATTTCTGAATAAATAGCTTCTATATTAGTTTTCTTTGAAGTGTAATACCGTTTTTGGTAAAAAGGAGTTCTAACTGCCATGAAAAAACGATTAATTTTTAGATGCGCAATTTTTGACGACGTTAAATGCCAAGGCTATGTCTATAAATCAATTGTTTATACGTGTCTATTTTTGGCATTTCCTTGATGAAAACCCTGGCCTAGAGACAAATGATATATCTAATCGTTATCACTTTGGAGGTGCTTCTAAATCGGTCTCTATAATTTAGTAGAAGACTCTCTTACAAGAATGAAGTGATAGACTTTCTAGTAGTTACTATCCAGCTACCCATGTCTGTAATAACGTACATAGGGGCACCTGCGGTCTTCCTCCACTAGTAAAGCTGAAAAGTCGCATATGACCTATATTTTGTTGATGCGACGTACAGCCCAATTTATTTATTTTCGACCTTAACATGTTCATGAAACTAAAAATTTAACGTTGTACATAATTTTTTCC